TCTTGAAACAGGCCATTAGTCGGTAGCATGAAGCTAGCTAGCTACTCAGCCACGTGGGTGAAAGGAGTACAGCGTAGCTTTCCTCCCCTCGCTTTACTGTTTCTCTTCATAGTTAAAACACTAAAAGGTGTTTCATTCCATTTGTATAGTAAAGCTAATCTGGCTCCTGATTTTGAGCATTGCGCCAACTCTGTCCTTACAAAAACACGTTAGTGTGTTGGTAATAAAATACAATAGTTTCATGTGGCAGACCTTTTTATTTCTCGTCTCCCGGTCCCACGATCTCATTGGTTCCAGTTTACAAATGTGAACACGTTAGGCTCACAAGAAACACGTGGCGTGAAGTATTATTTTGCAGATCTGTGGATGTATGCCTGCGTAAACTAAAAACGAAGCTGAAACGATGGCGAACTTGTATAAGTTTAAAGAGTCGTATAAGGGCTTAAAGACAAACTTCTGGTTACTTCTGGTTTCTTGGTTGCCTAAAAGCAAGTGATAGCATATTTAAAAAGTTTGCATTTGCACCTCAAATGTAATATTGGGGATTTGTCTTCCTTCGCCACCTTTGTTCATTGGTATGCATGTCTCGTTATAATAGACAGGTCTCATCCCTGAAGTAAAGTAATAAATCATTTTTCTGGACTCACTGTCATTCAGCATCTTACTGAACGCTACGTCTAATCTTGTCAAGGGGTCACCAGAAGAGCTGCTGGTCAGGGAATTACCACCTCTCATTAGTTTACTGGGGAAAGTCATCAAGGCCCCAATGAAGACATAAGGTCATGGCAGAGGTCGTGACCTGCTGTTGAACCCATTCTCAGACATGCGGTGTTAGCCATGCTCCTGGGCTGTGTTATTTTGCAACCTTTGACCTTCAGGTGATCAGTCATCTGTTCTCGCTGTATTGGCTTTTCTTTCAGTACATTTTACTTATTCAAGCTGAAAATCAATATCCCATCACTCCTGAGAGCAATTAGTTGCAAGGTTTGGAAAAGATGCAGTGACAGACTTTCACTGATCTTGAGAGGTGGTTGGGGTGTTATTTCTGTTGAAAGGGAGTAACTACTTGATTTAAAAACTTAAAGTTAGAGCGAACTATTAGGCTGGTCCTTAATAAAACCAAAAGATCATACTAAACTCTTTTTTTTTTTCTTTTCTTTTTTATTTCAGATGCTATGCTGCTGCAAATAACCTGATGTCTTCACTGTGTTGACCCTTTAAGGTGAGAGCTGAAATATTTGACCATATTTAAGTTTTGGTTTAACTGTAGCTCAGTCCAGCTGCTGGAATAGTGATGAGATCACATTTTTGCCGTTTACCCGTCAGACAATAACATGGTGAAACTGTGACTAACTGAATAGCCAGCATAACATCAGACAGCCTCATATTTGATTTGTATGAAGAGATTTTCAGGAAGTTCATGTCAGTGGTTTATTCTGCTTCAGGTCTCATGCTGTGGTTGCAGGAGAGGCACGAGATGCCTAATCCTTTGTCTCCTTTCCCTGAGGACAGGTTAGTGGTTTCACAACAGTAAAATGGAAAAATGAGTAACTGCAGTAATTGTTGCAAATCGTGTCTGCTCATACTGATTCAGTGGTTAAAATGATTCCCAAACAACAAGTTATATTAATTTGCTTTGCGGCAGCTATTCTATAGCTGCAGCTGGAATAGTGATGAGTTCACTTCTTTCGCCGTTTACCCATCAGACAATTAAGTGGTGAGATTTGTGACTACTGAATTACCAGCTGCAGCCTTTGTGTCACATAGTTTACCCCAGTTTTTATTTAATACAGTAATAGTTTCACACAGAGCCAGAAAATTTCATCTTGCCAAACTTGGCATTTACTTTCCATTTAGCAATTTTGTTCTTTTGTTAATCTGATTTCAGTTGACCTGAAATTCTTCAGTTTTGAGCCTATTATTTCTACATTACCTGTATCTAAAATTACACTGTGTATTGTTAATTCTGCAGATAAACAGCAGCAGCAGTAATGGAGCTACACAGTGACTGGCAGTGATTTCGTGCCTTTCCTGGTAAGTAAAGCCAGTAGTAGATTGGTGTATTCAGGAGCTGGTATTCTAATAGCCCTTTTCCTCTAGTACCTACTTGGCACGCCTTGGCTAGACTGGGATTTTAGGGGTTTCCATTACGTGGTAGGACCTGGGATCAGGTACATTTTTAGTACCTACCCAGCCGGGTCTCCAGTCCAAAAATATGACGTCAACAGACAGAATACCACTAATTGGCCAGTCAGTAGTGTCACTCAGTAAGTCAAGAAAGGGACTTCTTCCATTTTTGAAACCTGGCAATGACAGAAATGGCTTCATAGAAACAAACATTGTGGTGTTTGTGTCACATACAGATGTCGTTACTGGACTTTCAGATGCGTTGCTATAACGACTGCAAGCACATTTTAGGACTCAATTGCAATGGAAAGCGTCTGAAACGGAGTCGAGTTGAGCCGAGTAGTTACTAGTGTAAAAGAGGCATAAATGGCCAGCTTACTTCACTGGTATGTCTGCTGATGTAACTTGTAATGATGAGTTCACTTTTTCGCCGTTTACCCATCAGACCAAAATGGGCTGCTGAGAATGTGACTAACTGAACTTGAAATTACTTTTAAACCCACATAAATCATTTATTCTCATTTGACTGACTATATACTGTATATTTGTTAGATGTGCAAGGTTTCGGAAACACTTGAATGACTTGGGAGTACACAGAGTGGCCACAATTGAAAGGTAAGTAACAGGTTCTAGCCCTGTCACTTTGGTTTTTCAGACCTGCACATGCCACATTGAGCTCAGTTTTTTTCCCCGCCTTCGTGCTTACAATTTAAAAATGGATAGTTGTTTTCTTTTCTTTTTTGATATGCACAATTGGTGGGGGGGATTTGTCTGCAAGAAAAAATATCTTAAGTGTATTTTGGTTATTTAATCTTGCATGCAATATTTTTAAACATGTACTGGATTCAGATTTTGGGTAATCCATCTTTTTATCTGCATTCAGCACGTATTTATTTGTTTGGTTGTATTTGATCAGCGTACAGATTTGAAATGTAAAAATAAAGGGAGTTTAATCTTGTGTTGCCTACCTGCATTTTGTTAAACAACCTAGAGAGGCTTCACTCTTCTGTAATGTATGTGTCTGCTCCAGGTGCGTTGGTGTAGATGAACCGTAAGATAAGCTGATGGAGCTCATCCAGAGCAGCGTCTCGCTTGCACAAACCATCTACATCTCCCAGGTCACAAGGAAACACTGGATCGGGTGGGATAATGAGAGCAGAGGCGCCTGTATGAAGAAGAGAAAATCCTGAATATATTGTATATTATATTGGTGTTTGATGCTTTATTATCTTGAGTGTTATATATTGATCAATAAAATGAGCCATGCTTATGAACAGAACCATCGAGTAATGTCATTAAATTGCTAAATATTTACTTTTTAGTGTTTTGAGGAGGTGTAAAAATGAAATAAATACCATGCTTGAGTGAGACTGAGCTTTCACAAAGGAGTACAGCGATCACAGCATCCTGCTCTAGTACTTGAGTTCTGAGACATAGCTTGCAATGGGCCTCAGCCAAAGAGATCCTGTGACAAAATGAATATACAATGTGAATGTCTGCCTCTGTATTCAGTAAGACCTTTCTAATACACTGTAGGACAAGTAATCAATAAAAATGTTACATTTAAAATGTAAATGGATAAATCAAGACTGGCTGTGTATGGACAGTATAATGTGGCCTGCCCTGTTTGGCCTTCTCACTGAGAACATTTATTTTCATAGTTTTAGCTGAACATAAAACGTGTCACCACAGTGGGAAAGATTTGTAAACATTTGTCAAAGTTGCATGAAAAATGGTCATCTACGAGCAGCAATAGAGTGGGCTTGCACCACCTGGTGGATGAAGTTGACATTACAGCAGACTTTGACCTCAGCAGTTTAATATGCAGAAAGCAGAGAATGAATGTAAAAAGCCATTAAAGCACTTACAGCAGCTTGATAGAGGCCACAGACATGTTGACACCATGACCCTGTGATCGCACTCTGCGGCTCGCCATGTAGTAACCATGGATTATTTTCTCTGCTGCAGGGCTGAGCTCCACTTGCAAACGTTGTGCATGGGCCACCAGCTGAAGAATATAATAGTATATTAGCAATATAACATAATTTATAATATAATAGTAATAGAACATGTTTGTTAACCTCCTGATAGTCTTCAGTGGAAAACTCCCAGCAGGGTGGGTCATGGGGTTTTCCAGACTGTACTGCATGCTGGAGGGTGTGGACAGTCTGGGCAAGCAGGGCCTGCTCTCCAACCCTGTCTCTACACTCAATGACAAGGCCAAAGGCATCTGCCAACTGAGCTGGTACAGCACCCATCTCCTGCTCACAGTAAAGAAAGCTGTCAATAAACCTTTATTTTAATGGTTACATTTCATTATTTACCCCTTGCCTACAAAAAGAGCAACACAAAGCACTGATTATTCTCAAGGGTTCTGCTGTGAAGTATAATTGCCTGGGCAGGGCACTTCCTTCAAGAGCACTAAATTGTCTCAATTTCCTGTTTTGCCTGTAGCACCAACAAACAGCATCTAAGCTGAAGGAAAGGGGCCTTTTTTAAAAAACTGTGTAATAGGCAAAATAAGTTACAAACATAAATCTAAACTTAGACCCAGTAAAGCACATTCATACAACAATAACTTGATGGAACTGAACTCACTGCTGCTCCCAGTGCGCCACAGTCTGCCCTCCCAGATCGACGGGAGGAGTCTGTGACGGCCCAGAAGCTACACTGGACTGGAAAGGAAAGCTGCTGGTCTGCATCCTCACCATATTTCTTTCCAGGGATGAACACTGATAGTGTGCGGGTCTCCATAACTGGAAAAATTTTTGTTTAAAAAAGATTCATGATTTTTATAGCTGACATCCTTTTAAGGTTATTGCAGCACTTACATTCGTTACCTGACTTAATGGAATCCAACTTGTCCTTTCTGTAATAGCTCAGATCTCCCAACAGGCAAACACCCCCAGTGGCTAGCAGGACAGAACCAGCATGGATGTTAGCAGTACCTGCCCCATGTTCATCCCGGGACAGGCATGCGAACATCTCCCCCGTGGCCTGATGCCTGATCCCACGATAGGCCAAACTCAAGCTGTATGTCATCAATCTAGCACAAAAGGATAAGATGATGGATGGATAACGAGGACGATTTGATCACAAGTGTGGTACCTAGTGGGTCCATTTAGGTAAATGGACTGGTTCTTAAATAGCACTTTTCTATTCTACTTGAGCACTCATAACGCAAGCATGTGGTTACACACTGCTGTGTGATGGTGTGTGACCAAGCTCGTGCCCAGCATGAGGAGGAGGTGCCAGGGCTGTTGTAGCTGTTCATGGTCCTTCCACATGTTACTGAGGTCGTGGTTTGTTAATTAACAAATTGTTAAATTGCCATTATGTCTTCTTTCTTAAGACTTCAATCCTCCAGTCCAATAAACGAGACCAAACAAGAGTAAATAGCAGAAAAAGCTGTTTGGCACTGGCAGATAAGATTTGGCAAGTTTTTATGGGCACAACCCACAAATGCATTTCCTTACAAACGTGGCACCATTTAAGGGGAAATAAACAGGCTTTCCAACAGTGTGAGATTTATCGCCAAGAATCATTGTTACAACACAGACATAATTGATCAAACACAAAATTTCCTTACTTTTTGTTCTAAGTATACATCCCTGTTTAGGACGCAGTAGGTTTCAGGATTCAGATCATTTAAATTTGTTTACCTGTCGAGTATAAGCGTGTCAGTGGTGACAACAAGAAGATCCAAGTTGTGAAACGTGTCCTTTTCATCTATTCTGGTCTGCACCAAGCTAAGCAGCAAGCTCAGCTTCAGAGTGTCGTACAAGCCTAGAGGAGCCACGTCCAACCCAAAGCAGTGAGCTACAATTGCGGAGAACCTCCATGGAGACGAGGCCGTTCCCTTCAACAGCTCCTGGAAGCGGGCGCTGACTTTACAGTCACCTGTAAGTTGAGTTGTAAAAGATGGTCTTTTACTACAATTAAAAAATATAAAACCTGAGACTTCACTGTATGAAGACAAATTTAATATATCTGCTATTCATTCTGTAATTTTAATGGGAGATAATTCACAGGCTTACACACTGGTTCCCACGGCTGGACACTATTTGCCTCCACACTCCAGGTAATGTTGGACCACTGGTGCACATGTGCAGGAATGCCCAACACCCGGTAATATCGCCCGATTCTCATGGAGTTACACAGCTCGTCTACATGAGTAGGGGAAACAAAGCATTAACACTCAAAGGAGTTGTTCTCGGCTGCCCGGTGATTACTAAAGAAACATGCATGCCACCTACAAGCCACTGCCAAGAGAAACAGAGTGAGGACTTCAGAACAAAGATTTCACTGTGTGCGAACTGCACAGCCAGCTAATGAGTGTTCTTTGCACTTATTAACATATATGTTTAGTAACGGGAGCTCGCTGTATTGAATTCCTCCACAGGACTGGGTCAACAGAATATGTTAATCCTGCTGCAGAGATTTGCTAAGCTCTCAGGGGTGCTGGCGGGACAATGTTATTCGAGGGGACAGAAACACTTAATATCCAACCATGAGGCACCGTGCTCAGCCGGCTGCACTAAAATCTATTTATTTGAACTCTCCCCCACCAAGTTTGTGTTTCAAAGCGAACCTCGTTTAACAAGCCAGAGAAAATTAATGGCAAACCTCAATACATTTGACTGTAAATATAAGCCATTATAACCACATTTCTCAAGAGTAATGGATTAAGATCTTATTTTCCAAACAAAACAATAAACTTGCATTTTGAGGATATTAATCTGCAGTGCAGTTTGATTTTAAATGCTTCAGTTTACAAATGAAAACCAAGGAAAAAGGATTAATCACCTCACAGGGTGGGGGCAGAGTCTTTTCAAATAACAAGCTATTTGGTTTTCTGCTGCGTGGTTCAGATGTTTTATAGCGAAGATATGTTTTTGTTACGGAGCTGTTCTCTGAATCAAAAAGCCAAGGTGCACAAAGTCCTGTTTGAACCAGCAGATCAGTGCTGACCTTCACGAAGGAGCCGTCACACTCAGTACTGTTATGATTTGTATCGTCTGTTTTAGGATTAGGCTACTCTGATGTAAACGTTCGGTAATGGATTGTGTTTCTGCTCTTGGGTATTATTAAGTGTGATCATGATGTATTGTAATGCATGCTAGTGCATATTTTTCATCTTCTGCCACTGCCTTCACCACTCCCAAAAAAAGCTATGAGTTTTCTTCTCCGTTATTCACGCTGCTAAAACAGTTGCACACTGCAGACTGTAGACATACCTCTGAGAAACAGGGTAACAGACTGGTATCTCATTGAGCTTTGCTCGTGGCCTCTTAGAACATCCAGTGCTTTGACATGGATCAGCTCCACCAGCTGCTTGTCTATACCCCAAAAAAGACACATACTTAATTACTGTGCAAAAGTCTGGAGCCACTTTATATATTGCAAGGAAAATGGGAAATAGGCACAATGATTTACTGAAACATGGGTAAGCATACATTAGAATTACAGCATATTAAGCAGCAACAAATTTCTTATAATTCCAGACAGATCACAGCCTGGAATCTCTTAGGCAGCTTTCTTGTCATTTCTCTAAGTAGTCTTCAGGATTAGTTCTCCAGGCTTCCTGATGGACATTCAAAGCGCTTCTTTGGATGATGGCTGCATTTCTGTTCCATTTTCTCTCAAGATGATGCCACACTGCTTCAATCATTTTGAGGACCGGGTTCTGGAGAGACCAATCTATGACTGGCAGTTTATTTGGGATCATTGCCATGTTAAAGAATGAAACAGCTGCCAGTGAGATGGGTTCCAGATGCCACTGCATAGTGGAATAAAGTCCGATGTAACTTTTCAGCATTTATAATTGCTTAAATTTGATAAGATCCCCAAAACTACTGGCTGAAATGTAGCACCAAACCATGACATAGCCTCCACCGTGTTATTGTGGCTGTTTTCAGCTGATTTTGTTGATGCAAAAATACTATTTTATATCTTTCAAACTGTGTTATTGCTGCATTTTTCATAGATTCACTTAAAAAAAAATGAATAAAAATTGTGTTTTTGTAAAAGGCTGCCAGTAACATAGTGTCTAAAGATAAATTTAAAATGGGTTTATTACCAAGTTTTGTTGTATGTGTATACAGGACGTGACCCAATATACTTGAATGATTTATAGTTCAGTGTTAGGTGATTTAACAAACAGAAAACAAACAAAACAACATTCCTATGAAAATGGACAGATACAAGTATGGACCTTAAACTGAGTGAAAAAGCAGCCAATGTCCAAAGAAAATCTTTGAAAGACCTTCAGAGAGCACAAGCAAAATAAATCACAAGAATGTCTGGCTCACTGGAAGCAAAACATAAAAAAAATGAGGGGTTGACCTGATATTTTTTGCAGTAGTAATATGTTAAAATCAAACCTTACAACGCACTGCAGCATTCTGAATCAATAGTACCTCCTAAAACTCTAAACTTCACATCCTCTTTCAATTGGGAGCTGCACATCATGCAGCTGAAGTCGTTTCTCACTGTGGCTGACTCTGTTGCTCCGGGTGCGTGCACTCGAATGTGGTGAAAACCTACAAGCAGCATCACAGAAATGAGAATTTATATACTGCATTTGTCTTAGTCTGACTTAAAAACCACAGAGTATGTGTATGTACTGCAGTACCTGTAGAGCAGGGGCAGTCATCATCAGTGCAGAGGAACCTCGCCCCCTGGGTGTACTTTGTGACCCTTGTCATGGCAATGACCAGGCCCTCCATGGAGACAGGCCTCAAAGGGCGACATAAACGAGGAAAACTGGAAAGGTCCAGTGTGTACTCGGGGAATGGAGGCAGGTGTGTGAACTTCAAAATAACATTCACCTCAAAAGAAACACACACACATTGTTAGAGGACAGAGGCATCATCTGATTTATTACACTAGGAAAAGCCCAGGTGTATTAATGAGGGCTGCATTCCCTTTAGGAGTCATTGTTTACTGGGACAGTAAACGGAAACGAGCCCTTCACTTGTGGATTTATACAAAACACAGTATTGTTTCGGTGAAAGGGGAAGCGGTTGTTTACCTGACTCTCCATGTGTATTTTTTCAATAAGTGAAAGGGTCTTTATAGCCAGGAAACAAACCTAAATGAGGAATTGGTTAAATATAGTTAAGCTGACAGCAAAAGTGTAGCTACGTTTCATTTTTGCCCACAGTTTTCACTTACAGACTGAAACAAAGCCGTGGCTTTCAGGGGGTCATGGAGAACACAGTCCCCCAGTACAGGATCCAGCTCCAGCACATCGGCGGGATTAACACTTATACAAAACCTGTACACCGCCTCGGTCTGCTGTGTGCCTGAAAATGACCGTTAGCAAAGTTAAAAACTCGGTGATTTTAGCTGTCATGGCTGCCGTGGAGCGGAACCTCATACCGTTAAAATGTTTGCAGTTTTCGCAAAGTTTCTTAAGACCACCGCTTCTGTCTAAGTACACCAAAACCGATTCTTTCAGCGATAAAATGTCAGCCATTTTTAAAAACAAATTATATCATGAAGACGTTTAATGTTTAGTTGAGGTTAGCCCGGGTTCAGCGGGGGGAGCTAACTTCAACAAAATGTGACGTAATAATTTTTGAAAAAATTTATAACTGTACATACAGAAAAACTAAAATATATATAGTTTCGGTTTCCGGCTATAAAGAAAATATTTTAAGGAAAATTATGGAACTTCTTGTTTTGTTAAGAAAATTTCATAAATTGGTTTCCATAATGCGAAAATTTGTCAGTTCAGTGGTTTCTAATTGACGTTATTGCTTAATATTAATTTATAGCAAATTTAAAATACACACTTTTATGCATACTTCAATGAAGATGTTATTAAAACAAGGGAGCTGGGCTTAAATTTATCCACAAACATTTCAAACCGATTTTTTTTTTAAATTTTTCTTTTATTGTTGTGCAGGAATACAGGACTACTTAATTGCCAGACAAAGAAAAGCATTGTGGAATTTCTGAATTAAAAAAAACTGTTAATGCAAATAACAGAAAAAATAAACACATACAGTTCAATAAAAAAATCATATAGAAAGGTAACTTATGAAGCAGAAGACAGTCTTTTCCATTTTGCAAATGTGACCTACAAACCAAAATGCTGCATTTACTGGTTTCTCAAGTAATCCCCACTTCCAGCTTAATGTGAATGTGAATATAAACAATAGTTGTTGTTTTTTTACAGTAATTACATAAACAAACACAATTGTGTCTGAGAGTCAAATTGAGTCACTTAAAATCCAGTGAACTGTTCAAGTTTGTCAGAAAACTGC